TTTACTAATTCAATGAAAACAATGTGTGATGAACAGATAGCAATATTTGGAACTGTTGATGATGGATTATGTGAAAATAAGGGATATGGAAAAAAAACATGTTATAAGAGAGATGAAAGTCAATACTATTATGAGAGTGAGTCATCTTCATTTTTTGATTATTCATGTCCAGGACATAAATCTCAATATGTTACATCAACGTTATATATATCAGCATCAACAATTAATATTGGTAATGATGAATATTATTCTAATATATTTGTAGTTTCACCAACAACAATAACTGTTTCAAATTATGAGTTGCCATTAACTCTTCAAGCAAATGTTGTGATTGCTGGTGATATGAATTCAATATTAGTTAAAACTAATGATAAACACACAATTAATACCAAAGGGGGAAATAATCAGAATTTAATTATTGCTGATACGTCTTCTTGTGGAATTAATGATTCATTAAGTGTAATAGAAGCTGATGGAATTTGCACTATTGGTTATTCAACACCAACTGGAATGAAGTGTAAGAAGTGTAGGTATGGATTTAATTCTGATGGAAGTTGTATTGTTGTGTCATCAACAGATGTTCATAACTGTATAATTATTTCTCCTAATGGTAAGTACTGTTTAAGGTGTAACACTGGGTTTTATATAGAAAATGGGAATTGTCTTCCTTGTGGACAAAATTGTCTAACGTGTGATTCAAGTCAATGCTTTATTTGTGAAGACAATTACATAAATGATAAATCAGATGAAAAAAATTGTATTCAAAATTTTACAGTATGCTCTTTCTCAAAGAATAATATTTGTTTGAAATGTCCTCAAGGGAAGATGATAGACAGTGATCATACAGGTTGTTCTACGTCATGTGTGGATGGTTGTTATTCATGTCAAGATAATACAAATTGTGACATTTGTAATATAAGTGCTAATGCAATTAAAAGTTCAACAACATGTAGTGTTACTTCTAATTCAATTAATGTAAGTAATTCAGGAATTATTCAATGTTTACCAGGATATTATTTATCAGAAACTTCTACATGTACTTCATGTAATTCTGGTGAATTACATTGTATGACTTGTTATTCTGTTTCAAGTAACGTTGTTTGTAGTAGTTGTGCTGATGGTTATATCATGACAACTAGTGGAACGTGTGTTTCTAAAGAGTCAGTTTCATGTAAGCAAGTATCAAAATCCACATGTTTAATTTGTGATGATTCATCTAAATATTTTAATGGAAAGGATTGTGTTAGTGGAATAGAACATTGTTTAAAAACTAATAATGATGGAACATGTGTTGAGTGTTTGTTCTCAGAATCAGCAGAAAAATATTATTTATTAACAACCACTGATGGGAACACAATATGCTCAGAACAAAGTGATGAGTTTTGTTCCTTATATACACAAAGTGTATGTCGAAGTTGTATTGACGGATATTACAATAATCAAATCAAGTGTTTGCCATGTAACGCCACTTGTTCTAAATGTGTTAATTCACAAAACTCATGTTATGAATGTCAGTCTGGATATGTTCTTCAAGGTGAATCATGTGTTATTTCTGAAACTACAAATTGTAAGATGATGATAACCAGTGATGGTTCTCAACAATGTGCTATTTGTAATGATGGATATTATAGAGATGGAAAAGGATGTACAAAATGTATTGATAATTGTGTTTCATGTACAACTGCAAATACAGGCAGTTGTTTAAAGTGCATAGACAATTATTATTTTGACATAAAAACACAACAATGTCTTTCAATAAGTTTACTTTCTAATTGTGAGACTACAAATAGATTTGGATGTGAGGTATGTGAAGATGGATATTTCTTAAATGGTTACACATGTTTATCTTGTGATCAAACAACTAATAACTGTAAGAGTTGTAATAAACAAAATGGAAGATGTAATCTATGTAATAAAGATTTCATTTTAGATAGTGATTATAAGTGTATTTATTATTCACAATTCTCTCATTGTGTTAGTGCTGAAAATAATGTTTGTAATAAATGTGATTTCTGGTATTCAGTTGATGGAAAAGAGTGTAAGAGTTCACCAGTTTGGTGGGTTATTGTATTGGTGGTTATTGGAGGAATAATATTGGTAGTGATATTTATCATAATATTGTTAGTGTTTATTAGAACTGTTATGACTAAAATTACAAAGTATTCTCAAAATAAAAAACAAGACTCAAATACAATTTTCGATATTAAATATTCAAATTCACTTTGGACAAAAGCAGGCAATTCAGACTCAATCATTGTTAACCAAAAATTAATTCAATATGAAGAAGAAATGCTAGTTGCATCAGAGAATAGAGCATTGTTTTGTATTGGTAATATATCTAATAGTACAAAGAAAATTCAATTTACACATAACAGTTTACAAGAAATTTATTTAAATATAAAAGTTAATCCTGAGTGCGTCATTTTACAAAAAGGTAAAGGATGTGAATTTGAAATAATGGTTAGTCCATTATGTAATCTTACAATAGACGATACTCTTTCATTTTTAAGTTATGATATTAAATCAAATAAAACTGAAATATTTAAAATTCCTCTTCAAGGAAAAACTCAATACTCACCAAGACTTAATCCAGAGGAAATTATTTCAGAGAATGTTATTGGAGAAGGATCATTTGGTGTTGTTTTTAAAGGAAAATATAGAGGATCTACAGTTGTTATTAAGAAATTTAAAAATATGAGAGATGAATCATTGAAGGAATTTGATAAAGAAGTTACAATGTTAGATAAGTTTAGGTGTGATTATGTTGTTTATTTTTATGGAGCTGTATTTGTACCAAACAAGATTTGTATTGTAACAGAATTTGCCCAATTTGGATCATTAGAGGATTTAATGAAGAAAAAAGAAGAAAGTGAAATATCTATGAAGTTAAGAATTAGATTCATGTTAGATAGCATTAAGGGTATTGAATATCTTCACTCGAATGGAATATTACATAGAGATATCAAACCTGGTAATATCTTAGTATTTTCATTGAATATTATTGATGACATAAATTGTAAATTAACAGATTTTGGTTCGTCAAGAAACGTGAATATGTTAATGACTAATATGACATTTACTAAAGCAATTGGAACACCAAAGTATATGGCACCAGAAATATTGAATAAACAACATTACAAAACAATGGCTGATATTTATTCATATGCAGTAACAATGTATGAATGTTTTAAATGGGGAAATGCTTTTGCATCAAACATTAAACCTTGGTGTATTTGTGATATGATTAGCTCAGGAGAACGACCATCTCTAGAGTGTATCACTGATAAAAATTTACAGTCATTAATTCAAGAGTCTTGGGTGCAACAACCTGATAAAAGACTAAGTCCTTCAGAAATCATAAATAGACTAACAAAAATCTTGGAACAACCAAACTAACATACACATTATAACTGATTTGTTAATTAAACTACAACTTCGTCTATAACCATTTTATTGAGTCAATAAATTTCTTGATTCTTATTAAAATGATTTTATTTTTAATTGTATTATTCTGAATAAATTAAAAATTAACTTTTTTAATCTATAACATACTTGGTTATTCCATCTTTCTATTCACATTTCATTTACTTGTTAATTGAATATTCAAATTAATTGTTTGACAATGTTCAACTTTATTTATTTTGTATGGTGTTTAATTAAATTAGATTTGAAGTGATATTTATCATTATTAATTACACTTTTAATCACTTTTAATCATTTATTAGAATCATAAACATTTGTTTCATTCATTTACTTATGAATTATGAATTAATGTCTTCATTGAATGAAGATTTTCAAAATTCTTGTTAACTTGAATAGTAATTACATAGTAACTTTGTTGTATTAAATTGTATATCAGTTAACATTATAAGTTTTAATGAATATGACATATTACATAGTCTATTTTGGCTAGTATCAAAATACCAAAACTAAGTATGTTCAACAAAAAAAACAATGACAATAAATTACAACAACAGTTTGTATGTGTTTATGAGTTATTAGATGATGAGTAAATGTTTTTGTTTATCAGTTATGAAACTCAAAACATAGTAAATTAATTCAACAAATCAATACAATTCAAGTGAAAATAACAATAAACAAATGAATAAATAAGTTATAGATATAAAACAAATACAAAGAAATACTGAATGAAAATGATTCAATAAATCTGATTGAGTAATAAAAGAAAAAAAGAACTAAAAAATCGAAATAAGAAAAATACATGATTCAAAGTAGCACTACAATTAATTCTAAAAAAGTTAGTTTTGAAGAGTTAAGTGAGAGTGAAAAAAGAATTATAATGATTAAATCAATCACAGAATTCACTGATAACGATGAAGCAATGTCAAGAACAAGAAAATTAGTTGATTATATTAGAACTACAAAACCAACAGAAATCCTTGTCATTCTACAACAACATGAAAAAATAGTTAGTATGGGAGAAACAATTAGTAAACAACTTGAACTAATTGATTTGTATTTGAAAGGAATTGGTAAAGAGTCAAGTTATACTCTCATGACATATCAAGAGAAACAAACAGAAAAAATAATTTGTCAAGGAAAGTCATTTGATAATTTTATTGAAATAATAAAACAAAGCATTCAAGTTTATCCAGAACAAAGGTTCTTTAGTTACATTTTTCCAACTATTCAATTTACACTAACAAAAATACCCCCCTAAATGTGATTTAGTATTGCAATACTCCTATCATTATGAAATTAACGATCAAATGAAAAACACTATCATTAACAATCTCAATCAAAAACCATATTTTATTTTCCAATGCATTTCTCCTACTAAACACTATGATGATCCATTTGTAATGCTAAATTATAATGATTTAGCAATACTTCAAAATGGTCTAATTCCCTCATCATACACACTAGGAAATTATATGGAGGAAGTTACAAACCTCGAAGGAGTTCTTATCACTCCAATATTTGAGGAATATGAGAAGATGAGAATATTTGCAAGTAGAACAAAACAATACAAAGTTACACCATGTCAAGTCACAATGAAGAACATTATCAGTGATAAAGGAAAAAGAATTGCTATCAAAGGAAATCTGAAGGTTGATCACAATGACATTCCTATTATAATCAAACAATACAAAAAAAGTGAATATTTTTATAATGAAAGTTATTTGGATTATCTTGACTCCATTGGACTATTAGTCAAAGCATCAGAACAATACAATAAATATGTTGACATGTATAATAATCAACTTAAAGACGAGAAGGTACATCGAATGAAACCAGTGAAGTGTGAAGGAAGTCAGATGTTTGTTGTAACAAATCAAATGATTCGAGGAGACATATTCCTACTTAAAGAAGTGAAGGCTTTCATTGATAAAAAAGAAAAAATGATAATTGAAATCTATCATGAAGAAGCAGAAACACAATTGATTCAAGCAATCAATGAGGAAGGAAGTGGAATTAGAGATACGTCAGGAATAAAAAATATGGATGTTTCTGGAGGTATTTTAAGTATAGAAGCATTCAACCATTTTCTGTGGTGTCAAACCACAGAAAGTATTAGTGATTTGATGATTATGAAAAATGTATTTGTTATACTAACAAATAATGAATATACGATAATTAAAGCAGAAGTTATTCATAGTAAACCAAGTAAATATTATTTCATTCAATATTCTGATGAGTTTGATACAGTAAAAAACATTTTTATTGCAAACCACAATTGTCAAACAATATGCACTATGTTTAAAAGGTGTGAAGATGAAAATAGAGATATTGATTATGAGACTAATGATAAATATATTACTCAATTTATTCTTTGAGATAGTTTTAATGTTTTATCATTTGTCTTTTTAAAAGAACATCAGACGATGAACCAAATGATTAGCACTCCAAATAACATCAATTCTTCTTTATAATTAAAACAATAAACCAAATAAGAACCTCTTTTGTTTATGACCAATTTTATTATGTGAAAATGAATGAATCAGTATGAAATTATTCGTCTCTTATGAGTTAGTTTTAATGAATAATTATTATATACCTTCATCATTAAATAGGATAGTATCAAATTCATATCGAACTACTAACTCATTGTACATCTTCATTTAATCCTCATTCTTCAAAAGAAAAGTTATTCATTCAATCAATTCTTTTTCCTTGTTTATTAACATAGCATCATTGATTGAATTATTTATTGAATTAGTTCCAACTCATTTTGTTAAATATTAAAATGATTATGATTTACAAATCCATATGTCTGGCATTAGACTATTTTAATAAGACTTATTGAAGCATAAAAGAACAGTAATTTAATAGTTAATGAATGGACAAAACAATGAATTATCTTTTTGTATTAAATAAATGAAAATAGTATTATAACAAAACAGATAGTAATTAACTACTATGATAAATATTTTCATTGTGTCTCATATAACTTATAATATTGTTTTTGGTTAAACTCGTGAAATGAGTTTAAAGTTTGTGTGTATCATCATTCAAATAATACTGAAGCAAGAAAAGAAACAATAAGTAATAAAATGTTGGAACTAATGAAAAGATGCAACACAAAAGTGAAATAAAGCAAATAACAATACTAGTCCAATGGAAAGAAAATAAAAATTGAACCATCCAGACCAGGTGGAATTAGGCAGCAACTCATTTTACGTTGTGTCAATGCATTAAAATTACCTAATGATCTTATTGGATTACCACCACCACATGAAATGATTAAACTAATTGATGAACTAATTAAAACAAAAGAAATAATGAATGAAATAACAAGTGAGTCATTCACTATTTCATTACCAAAACCAACTGTTGTTGGTGAAGAGTTAAGTAAACGATTTGTTGGAAATGAAAGTGTTGGAACACCCCATCTTATTAATTGTTGTGAATCTATTAATCAAATTAAAGGAATTGGATTAAATGAAGGTGAAGACGTAGATGAATATAAAAGTGTTATTGTTATTAATAACATTCCTATGACATTTTCTTCAAATGAGTTAATCAATAGGATAGAGAAGTGTGTGTCATGTTTTTATGACCAATTTTTCTGTCTGAAGCAAGATAGTGATTATTATAAAGCTGTTGTGAGAGTTACTAACAAAATGGTTATCAATTCATTATTCAAATCTTTTGATAATATATTTCTTGAAGATGACCAAGACAAATTATGTTGTGTTCATGAATCACATATTCAAGGAGTTCAATTTACAAACTCACTTCATTTATTATTGTGTTAACTCTCTGTTTATTTATTTTCTATTTTTATTGAACACTATATAATAGCTATAGACAAATAGAATTTATTAAATTATTATCAGTTTATATTTCATGTACTAAATTATTATATTAAATAGAATCTTATACTCTTCTGTTTATTGTTTTTAAGTTAATACTATTAATATAAAAGTCATTTATTTTGTTTTATTAATTATAATTTATTTCATTTTCCTGTGTTTCATAAATTAAATTACATAAACAAATATGAGGAAGTGTTTTATATAAAAAATATTGTCCATAACTTATTTATATTTTAATTGATTAACACTTTAAATATTAATTCATTGTACTTATTCCTGTTATTTTATTTATCACGTTAATGTAATAACTTCTTATTAATATTTTCTATCTACTTATCTACTTATTATTATTTCTTCATTCTATTATGAAAATAATCTTTTATTAAAAATAACTTTTCCCTTTTATTTAATTAGTGTTTTATTTCTTTTTTTCCATTAATTCATTTATTTATTATTTTTATATAGTTTGTGATAATTACTCCTACTCACCAATGAATGATGTTTTGTTATTTTCTTTTTTATATTTGTTTTTATATAAATACTTCTTTTATTCTTTTTCTCCAATTTAAGCTTTTGTGTTATTAATAAAATAATCTTTGTTGTTCTTTCATTTTATACAACTAATCTGTTTGTTGTTATCTAAAATCTATAAACACAATGTTGGTTCATTAAAAAAAATTATCAATTCACAATCATATGTATTTATTTAAAATAAATTTGTATCTTATTCAAAGAATCACAACTTATCAATTTCAATACGAATATGAGAAACAATTGATTAATTTTGATAAATGAAAAATCAAAATAACAAATTAAGTAGTGCATCAAATCTTCAATAAATAAATTTAATCATTTAAATTTATTAGCTTCATATTAATAATATTTATTCATTTAGAATTTTACAATAACTTAAAAATATATTTAATACATCATTAAGTAAAATGTATAATACGCATAATATTGAGATTATAATGTAATATAAAGAAATTGTGAATATAAAAGAAAATTACTTAATTTAGTCACACATCCTTTTCAACCTTTTTATTGTTTAATTACATAATAAAGAAATAAGTTGTTAATAGCATTTATAGTTGTATTTCATGTACATCATATTTTCATTTCACATAAATGAATTAAGAAATATGGACATAATTGAAAACATTCTATTCATTTGACGATAAATGATAAAATATAACAATTGCAAATACTATTTAAAGAATCTTTTTGCTTATTTTTATATGGCAACGAAAAAAAGCAAATAATTGAAACAGAAGAGAATGAATGATATAAAAGAATAAAAAGAAAGTAAGAAGTAGAATATGATGAAGAAAGAATAAAAGTAGAAAGGAGAGAAGATAAAAAGAAAGAAGATAAAGTGTAATAAAACAAAAGAGATGATAAAAGAAGAATAGAAAGAAAAAAATAAAGGATGCAAATTTTATTGAAACAAATAAAAAAAGCGCAAAATTTAATGATGCAAAAATTAATGATGCAAAATATTTAGCAACATTTTTATTGATGCAAAATATTTTGAAATAAAAATAAATCATCATTTTATATTATTATATTTGATAATAAATTATAGTATGTATTAAATACATCATATTTCTTTATTATTTATCTTTCTTTTCTTTTTATTATTTCATATATTAAATTATTATTCATTCATTTATTATTTATATTTCATTTATTAAATAA